TATTGTTTTATTGATTTTTGATGCAATTTATTTTGCTAAACTTAGATGTCTTTGAAAAGTTTATTTCTCTTCCTCTGTTGATATTTGCATACTTTTGGAAGACCTTAGAGAGATATCTCAAATAACTGTAGAAATTATAAAATGAAATATGTAATTTTTTTTTTTTTTTTAAAGAAAGAAAAATGGTTAGGCCTGGCCAGTTAGCTCAGTTGGTTAGAGCATGGTGCTATAACACCAAGGTCAAGGGTTTGGATCCCTGTAACAGCCAGCCACCACACACACACAAAAAGAAAGAAAACTGGATAAATGCTGTGGAGATAAACATTTAAGGATAGCTATATATTTTGTAATAGTACCTTCTAATGATGATAAATAATGTCATAATGTTATCAGTTAACTTTTATATAATGCTCATTTTACTTAAATTGTTAACACAATGGATAAAAAATTTTTTCTTTAGGTATTCCACATAGGCAAAAGGTATCAAAATGATTATATTTACATGTAGCTTTACAATTTATAATGCACTTTTCACATATATTATCTCATTTAGATCACACAGGCCACCTTGTGAAGTATTAATAATATTAACAGTCCTCATTTTATAAAAGAAAATTAAATTTCAGGAATATTAAATGACTTATCCACTCAGCTAATAAGCCAGGATTTAAGTTTAGTTTTTGATCCAAATCTCTTTCATAATATACTCCTGTTCATGGAACAATGTCTTATTTCCAAACATGTAAGAGGGTCGATAACATTTCAGTCACATAATACCTACTAAGCAAAAAGTTATTTATAAAATAAATTTCACTACTGGACTGAGTTTCACTCATTATTTCCCACAGTTCCAAACTGGTATTTTAAAGTAACTAGAAAGAGACAAGAAGCCTAACTCACAGATTGAGCCAAAGGATACATACACATTATAATTCCAACTGTAGTATTTTTTATATATCCAAATACCCAAGTTCTCTCTTTGCTTATCTCTGTCTTTTTTAAAGTCTTTATATCTTCTACTCTCTTCCTCCTCTCTCAATCCCTTAACTTCAGAAACCACTGGAATGACTGAAGGGACAAATACCAAGATAAGATGGCATGAGTTCCACCTGTCTTTTCCATATTTAAGAAGACAAAATAAAAGGCCTTCTTCTTAATGTTCTCCAATGTATAGAAAGCAAACTAAAGGCAAAATATATTTCTCTACTCTTATTTGACTTTCTTCTAAAAATGTTTATTGGGGGAGAGGTAAGAAGTCTAAGTACAAATACGCAAGTGTAAGTACTTTATCCGTTTTAACTCATTTTATAACAGCACACTTTGATAAAATACAGTTGATGCAATTATACATCTAAGTCCAAAGCAAAAGATTAATTTACCCAGGGGGGGAAAGAGCCTAAATGCATAAACTTGTTTTGAATTTCATGTTTCATAACAAGGAATACTAAAATTCTTCTCTTAACTATTTTAAATTGGAGACTACAAAAGAAATAATTTAAAATTTATTTTTACCTTGTGGAAGACTAGTGGGACACAAATTCTAACTACAGTTAAATCATACCATAAAGAAGAAACCATGACCCAAACAGATTCAGTCACATGAAATACAGGGTTAGACTACTGTGAGGTCAAAATGATAAAGGCAAGCCTATAAAACTAGCTGGTTAGGTGTCCCTGTGCAATTAAAATCCATCAGGGCTTGGGGGGCAGTTTGGCACCACCTGGTGGCAAATGTCCACCCTAGCTTCAATATCCATGGGATCAATTCTGGGTCCTATGCTGGCTAGGGCATCCAGGGCAGCCCCAATCCCAGGAATCACCTGGTTAGGTGGAATCCAATTCGTTGTGGATATCGGGCCAGAACAACCCTGGGGACAAGGAAGTCTGCTTTCAGCATTCTTGCTTCCAGAAATGGCTCTGTTTCCTCACAGAGCTTTATCAACATACCTCTATCAAACATCTAGATAATAGGCGTTAATATATCTAAACTTATGTTACAATGGGATGCATTTTAAAGGATTTTAAATGCATTTTTAAAGCATTTAAAAAATTTAAAGGATTTTTTAAAGAACAGCAAAATATTAGGAAATTCTCAAAATGATTGTATACCAAAGTTTATATGGCTACATGGATTGTTTAGGAATAATCGTGTATTTTACCACAGAAATAATCCCATAAATTTTAAGGTTATTGGCTCAGTGAACAAAAGCCAATAAAATCCATAACAGAACTGAACCACAGAACTAACAGTACTTACTTGCAAAACAGAAATAATATGACCTATGCCACAGGTCTCTGTCATGCCCAGACCTTTCTCCTGAGGTTCAGAATCTTCTATAGTCAGAATCTTTTCTATTTGACAGACACTTCAAATGAAACTAAACTAAACTTATCATGTTTTCCTATTTTTCTTACGTTTTAAAAACTGTGTCACCATCCACGCTGCTGTTAAACCTGCATGACATCCTTAACTTCTCACTCCATCAATCCAGTCTAGTCACTGAGTCCCATTGTTTCTACCTCCTAAACATTTTTCCAATCTGGCTCATTTCTCTCCATGTCTACTGCTACTAATCCAGTTCCATCACCACTTCTCATCTTCATAATGGAAACAACCTCTAAAAGCGGCCTCTTTGTCTTACATCTTTCCCATCTATTCTCCAAATTGCAGTGATCTTTTGATATAAAATCAGGTCATATCATGCCTCTTCTTAAAATCTTTCACTTTTCCCCACAGCTCTTACACAAGGTTCAAATGCATGATTTGGGCTCCTGTTTCTTTCTTCTTTCATCTCTTACAATTCCCTGCCTCTCAGTCTATGCTTTAGCCATACTTAATTCTTTCCAGTTTGTTCAAAAGGTTTCATTATGTCTTGCCTCCTGGTTTTCATATATGCTGTACATTCATTCCCACAATTTCTTCCCCTCCCCTAACTCATATCTTACTCTTGGTCATCACATAGGTGTCAGCATGGGTATTTCTTCCTCCATGAAGTTTTCCCTGATTCCTCCCAAGGCTGGGTTAAATACACAGGTAGTCTCATCCTTTGTATCCTGACATTTCCTCCATTATTATCACACTCCTTATGATAGTAGTTTCTCTATTTGCCCTTATCCTCTATTAGACCACCACCTTTGTAAAGACAAAGGTCACCACTGTATCTATGGCATCTAGCATGTAGCTGACATATAGTAGATCTCAATAAATATTTGCTAAATAAGCGTATTTATTGCTGAGAATTACATGAAGCTCAAGTGTAAAAATTTCCAACATAAAACTTAAAAGCTTATTCTATATTAGGTGCACACCTCTTCTTTTAGTCTGAATTTTGAATCCTGAGAGCAAGTGACCACAAGCTACAGGATCCTTCTTTCCTAATACAGGGATGGACCAAGCAAAATTTAGAAAAGACATTCTTTGGAATTCTTTAATCTCTCTGTATGCATCTCTCTAATCTCCTAAAAACCCTGCTGTCCTAAGTATGTATGTTTATAAAAATGTCATACGTAAGTAATGAACATGAAGGGAAAACTAAGTGCAACAGCAAATGAATCTTAAAATCATAAGGTTATGTGAAGAAGCCTCAAAAAATATATATATAGCATGATATAGATACAGCATGATGTTGCTTGACAACAGGGAAATGTTCTGAGAAATGTGTCATTAGGTGATTTCCTCATCATACGAACACTATTGTGCATACACACACTAACCTAGATAGTACAGACTACTACTACACAACTAGGCTTATGTGGTACAGCTGACCCTTGAACAATGCAGGGGTTAGGCGTGCCAACAGCTACGCAATCAAAATTCTGCAAATAACTTTTGACTCCCCTCAAACTTAACTACTAATAGCCTACTGTTGGGCAGATGCCTTACTAATAATGTAAACAGTGAATTAATACATATGTGACAACATTTTCACAAAAGAAACTGAAGAACAAAATCATACCACTCAAAGAGGCATTATCATAAAAGTCTCCCTCAATCTGCTGTATTAAAATAACAATTTAACAGTAATTTAAAAAACATCTTTGCCAGTCTATTATCCAAAGGATAATTCTACATACGTAGTTTATACTCTACTAATAGAACAACTTTTTCCTCTGGAACTGAGGGGTGGAAACCCCAAATTTTATGCTACTATACTGCTAGTAGAAATGACATTTTACAATGGTAATTATAGTTTAAGTCTTGTTTAAAATCTTGCTGACAACAATCAAAATATCATACACTCAGATCAGTGCTGATAAGCTAGTATGACAATTAAGTCAATTCCAAAATAATTTTCTTGTTAAAATAAACTTTCAAATGCCACATGAATTATCATAATGGTATAAAAGTAACTGTCACTGAAATAAGTAGCATTTATTTCCCGCTAATATTGCCAATAATTCCTAATAGAAAGGTACTTCAAAAAGTCGTGGAAAAAGAGAATTAAAAGATAATATAAATCTTCCCATGAACTTTTTGAAGTACTCTCATATATATCATCTAAAAGTAACTGCATGAATACAAATGGTATTTCTTCAGGATTATCTAATATGACATTTTTCAGGACCAGCAGCTAAATGAGGCACATGTAATATTTCACATTAGTATTCCAGATTTTAAAATTTTCCAGGAGAAATTGTTGGAATATTACAGGAAGAACTACTGGTGTCTCTTAGTATCCTCTAACTTCCTTTTCATCTCTGTCCTCGATCTGAACTGAGGTAAAGGCAAAAAGACAAATTACTGGGATAAAAAAGAGATAATGGGAATACCAGAGTAAAAAGACTTAAAGTCTGGTAAACCCTGTTCCAAGCAAGCTATCAAAGACTTTAGAACTTTAATGTTTCCATTATATTTATATTTAGATTTATGACAAGTTTTCATTAATGTATTCAAAGACATTATCTCATAGAAATAGCATTTAATATCAAAACTTCTATAACCTGCAAACAAAGAGAAATAAAATACCACACAAGCTTTTTTTTTTTAAAAAATATTTTACCTGTTTTCCCGTTCATACATTTCCCTAGAGGCACTTCGAAGTTGATCAATTTCTTGATTAGCTTTCAATCTGATTTGTTCCAGTTCATCATGTAGTTTATTTTCATATTCTGTTTTATAATGGTCTCTGCAAGGAGTCAGAAGGAATATCCATGAGTTTTCTGTGTGTGTGAAATAAATAGACTTTTGCCCTCCATGTAAGATTTTAATATCTTATATGAAGTATGCTGCATATACTACATTATTTGAAAAACTTAACTATTAGACATAAAGTTTTATAATTCCTAAAAATACTATTCCAAACTAGTTCCATCTAAGATCTCAATCTGTTAAACACGTTGCCCCAAAAGCTTAAGTACTGTATAAAATCTTAGTAACTCAAGTTGAATAATTATTCACCTTCAAAAATATTTTACTAATAGTTTTTGACACCTTTTTAAAATTTTGGTGGCTGGCCAGTACAGGGATTGACCCTGGACCTTGGTGTTATCAGCATCACGCTCTAAACTCTTATTAATAATTTTTAATGCACATGGCTGAGGCTTGAAAACTGATGCATATGGAATGTCCTTTAAAAATAATACTCTTATATGGTGCATGTTGAGAAATACTATTAACAAAAATATAAAAACGAAATGACTCTAACATACTTTTTACAAAATCTTTCCTTCCAACCATGACAACCATAGCCACACTGATTTTTTAGCAAAGTCAAAGCATTATATAATGTATTAGCAAGAACAGCACAGACTGATGAAAAAAATACTATAGGCTACTGATAAAGTTATGAATGTGTAAACTGTTAAAGGTAAAATTTAAACTTTGTTTTAGTTTTTGATGTGCTGATAAAAATAAATAATTCAAAGATTATAAGGAATATTAGTATAAAGGAACTCTGGTATCTTATATACATCTAACAGAAAAAAGAAGGCAGGATTGGCAGGTTGTCTGATCCATGGCCTGTAAGTTAAATCAGTATGCAATACTGCCTCCTTATTCTTCTTTTACATTTCAAACAGTCAGAAAATCATCAGCATACTCATAAGTATTTCAAAAATATACTTCTATAGAGATACTCATATACTCATACTTTCTTTCAAAAAATACTTAGAGATTTTTGTCATAGGGAATTAAAGATTATGTCTCAGAAAAAAAAATATTTATAGTATATATCTCCCTCTCTAAAAGAAACAGGGTTTTGGTGTTGCTGAAAAAAACAATGTCTTAAAAAAGAAAACCAATAAAAAAAAAAAACAACTAGGAAAGACAATCTTAAAGAAACAAAATGGAAATATTATGTTAATATTGTCCCACAGACCTTAAAAAGAAATCATTTGTCTTCCCCCAAACCAAGAGTGCCCTCAAAGAAGATGGTGTTAATTATATCTATTAACATGGAAAAGAATGTATATCTTGCCTGGATGTTACATATTTTTCATACATCTCTTCTCTAGCCTTTCTGGTTTCCTCAAGTTGAGCTTGAAGTCTTTCAAGGCGATCCTCCTCATGGGCACAGCGAACACTAAGCTCCATGTTTTGGCGATTGAGATATTCTTTGTCTTTTTGCAGTAGAGTAACAGTCTGCTGTAAGGTGGCTACCTATGTACATGTAGAGACAAACAGTGTCCAGAGCAATGCTGTCTTACTTTTCAAGGTTGACTGTATTAATTTTTTTCATTCATGCCTTCACTCAGCACATAAAGATTCTTTTTAAAAGGGCTAATTCTTACCTTGCAATTTTCTATTCAAAAAGAGCTACTAAAAGTCTCTGTTGTTTTGGCAACTACATCAAAAAGGAAAAATGTCCTTCACATAATTCCACCCTGGGCTATTTTCCACTAATACTGTACAATAAAATATAAGTGACTCTATTTATAAGCTTACCTCTTTTGATAATTCACTTCTTTCTTTAGCTTGAACTACATGAGAGGCTTCAAGTATTTCATGTTTTCTCCTAAGCTCAGTTACTTCCTGTTCAAATGCATCACGTTCACTATTGAAATATAATTGAAATACACATGTAAATTTTTCATCCCCTTTTACAGTGAACATTTTAAAAGGGTTGACTATGTATCAGGAGACAAACACACTAGAAGTGGGGCTTTGGTGTCATTCTATGAACTACTAAGTATCTACTTTTCAAATTTAGAAGGGACTCTGTTCAAGACCCTGTTCAATACATCTTTTATCTTTAAAAAACAAATAGGTAAACTACGCTAAAGAGTAAAGTAAATAATAAAATTTTCTAAGGTACAGTTTGGTATTTTTTCACTAATTATTGTCATTCTTATCTTGAAGCCAAAACTTCTAAGGAATTTATAGGTGGCTCTAGGCTTTTGTTTCAGTTAGGGTCAAAAAACCCTCACAACTTGTCACTCAGATTGCATAGCAGATACGTAAGCAGGCATTCTTGTGACTATTTCATTCACAAATTGTTTGATTACCCAGAGATTTTAATTTCCATTTTCAGACCAGCTCTCTCACCAAAACAGTAAAACCAAGAATTGGACCAAAACCTACAACAGACATCTCTTAAGAAATGAGCAGAGAAATAAATTTACTAACTCTTTACTCCTCTCCAGTTAGAAGCAGGGCCTTTGCACTTTATTTCATTGACCTTCCTGGTATTTCCATGGAGAGGTTTGTTAAGAATTGTTTTTCTTTTCATCATCATTCCCATAATTCTTTTAGAAAGCTTCTTTCACCTTTGGTTAACAAAGCGTTATGTGTTTTGAAGAAAACTAAGCGAAGCACAAATTAAAAAATAACAATCACCCATAAATCCACTAACTAAAGATAATTATCAGTATTAATATCTTGGTACATATTATTGAAAGTATTTTGTACTTTTACATGCAGATATTTTTATTCTTGCAATAATGATCCTGCTCCTTTTGCTATGATTTTTTTTTTATGTAGAATGTTATTAGGGGGCATGATATAGCCAAACACCCGTTAACTTGCTATGCACTGTAGACAACAGTTAACATTTGCCTATACTTTTGTTTTCCTTTTTAAAAGACAAAACATTACAGATAAAGTTGAAGTCACCTATATTTTCCTCACTGCTCCTATATCATCTCCCTAGATAATGAGTATGTGTCTATACCATGTGTGGTCTGTAAAAAAACTTTAACTCACCAATTGTTAACATTGTCATATACCTCGTAATATTTGTTAAATATTACTTTGTCATATTTATTCATTTCCTCTCTCTTGTTCATATATGTGAATATATATATATGGATACACACAAACATACACATCTACACATACACTCTCATATGTGTATATTTTTCCTCAACTATTTAAGAGTTACTTTGTCATATTTATTCATTTCCTCTCTCTTGTTCATATATGTGAATATATATATATGGATACACACACACATACACATCTACACATACACTCTCATATGTGTATATTTTTCCTCAACTATTTAAGAGTTATATGCAGACATTAGGTCCCTTTACCCCTAAATAATTTAGTGTGAATTTCCTATGTTTAAAGACATTCTCTTATATAATCAGGAGACTTAGCCCTAATATAATACTATTATCTAATATACAATCCATTTTCAAATTTTGTCAACTGTTCCAAAAATGTCCTTTATGGAAAATTTTTCCCTGATCCAAAATCCAATCTATTATCACGTGTTGCAGCTGGACGTCATGTGTCTTTAGTCTCCCTTGACCCAAAACAGTTCCTTAGATTTTCCTTGCCTTTTATGACATTAAATTTTTTTGTAAAGCACAGGACAACCGCATCACAAAATGTCTCTCAATTTTCATTTGTCTGATGTTCCCTCATGAGTAAATTCAGGTTAAGCACTTTGGGCAGGAATACTACAGAAGTGATAACATGTCCTCAGTATATCACATGAAGAGGCATATGATGTGGGTTTATCTCATTACTGGTGACAGTAACTTTGATCACTTGGTTAATGTGGTGTCTGCCACAGTTTTCAACTGTAGAGGTAACTTTTTGCTTTTTCCAATTAATAAGTAATCCGTGGGAAGATACTTTGAAATTGTGTAAATATTCTGCTCCCTAACATACTTTTGCCCAATGGCTTTAGATTCCATTGATGATTATAAGTCAAGTATGACTATAAGGCTACAAAATAGTCATTCTAATATGCATATGTACTCTTACTGGTTGGCAGTCTACTGTAAAGATCCTCTTTCCCTGTTTATTTATTAGCATGCACTCATAGATTCTTATTCCATTCAATGGATCATATTGATTACTGTCATTCATTTTGATATTCAAGTTGTACTATATTATATTTCGCCAGTTGGAGCCACTTTAAACTGGTTATTGTGATGCTGAATTGGAATTAGGGGTATCAGTATGATTTCATCCAGTGTGTTAAACCTCTTCTCTCTTCCTTCTCCACCACCTTTGCCTACCTAAAGGGCCTAGAAACAATGACCAATGTAGCAATGACCACAGCGCCCAAATCTTAATTTCTAAATAGCATTCCCCACCAAAGAAAATCAAGACTCCTTAGAGAAAGGGATGAAGCAATGAAATTACTAAATAAAAGTAGGAATATTACATTAGGCCAGAAAGTAAAGAACTGCTACAAAAAAAGATACATTCAAATCTAATTTAAAAACCTTAACAGCTACATAGAATTATATCATAAAAATAAATCACAGTTTATTTTCAATTCTGCTATTGAAAAGCATTTGAATTCTTTCTAATAAAGATGTAATTAACATCCATATACCTGTTTCCTCTTGTACATTTGTGAGAATATCAAGGGCATGAAAGCGCTTTTTATTCCTTCCTGTTAACCTTATATTTTTTTGACCTGTCCATTTTTTTTTTAACCCCTTCATTCTGAGTGAACCAAAAAGTTCAAAATGTGAGCCGTTCTTGTACTCTGTTCAATTTCTAGTACATGGAGATGCTTATCTTGCTTTTTGATCAAGGCTATATTTTTCATTCCTAGGTTTTTATGATAGAAAATAAAAAGATATATACTAATTATTGTGATTTGAGCATCACATATTGTACAGGTATTGATATGCAATGCTGTACCCCACAAATATGTATAATCAATTACCTTTCAATAAAAAAAATTTTAAAAAGAAAGTCAAACCATATATTAAAATAGAGATGATATAATGAATACCCACACTCTCATCACCCAGCTTCAATAATTATCAGCTGATGACTCATCTTGTTTCATTTATCCTCTTCTGAATATGCTTTTTAGTTTTCTCTTTTTATATTTTATCTATCATTGCTATAGAATTATAGTGGCAGAGGGGAAATCACAATACCAACTCAAAGTATCATTTTACCATCACAATCTACTTCATTTTTAAATGCTTCTTTTGAAATCCAGCTTTATTCAAGAGCTTACTGAGAACAGCTCTCATGAACTTCAAGCTCCAATAATTACCATACTTTGGCAGAATAATGCATACCACATATAGTAATCGTGGGAGTAGAAGTGCCAAGATTATATCCCTGTCTTTGCAAATTCACTTATGGTATTATATACTTTATAAAAAATTATACAACTTAAGCATTCATTCATTTCGTGGGAGTAGAAGTGCCAAGATTATATCCCTGTCTTTGAAAATTCACTTATGGTATTATATACTTTATAAAAAATTATACAACTTAAGCATTCATTCATTTAACAAATATTCATTGAGTGACTACTATATTTCAAGAATTATTTTAAGTGTGGGTACATGTAGCAGTAAACAATGAGAATAAGGTCACTCCTTTTATACATATATAGTGTACATATATTTAAAGGTTTTCATAAATATATATATATTTTTCCTTTTTGTCTTTTTTACTGACCGGTAACGGGTTCACAACCCTCGGTGTTGTGCCCGCACCGTGCTCAACCAGTGAGCGGGAACCGGTCTCCACATGGGATCCGAATCCTCGGCAGGAGCGCCACCGCGCTCCCAAGCGGTGCACTCTCCAGTGCGCCACCGGGCCGGCCCTCATAAATATTTTTTTATTTGATTTTAGTTTATATAGTACAGTTATTTGTATTAGCACCACCTCACAGATGAAAAAACTTAGTCTCAGAATGAGAGATTTACCTAAGGACATACAGCTAAGTAGTGGTTCATTAAATTATTGAACAAACAATGGAAAAGTATACTTCAGTTAAAGGAAGACACGTGCCATAGTTACTTAGTAGCAACATACTGGGAAACACATATTCTCAGAAAGTGTTATTTTTTGAGAGTGTGTATCTTTTGTCAGAAAGTTACATACAGCTAAAAAGAACTTCAGGGAAAACTGTGAAGTATTTAAATTGATTCCATTACATAAATTTATATAGTACAGTTATTTGTATTAGCACCACCTCACAGATGAAAAAACTTAGTCTCAGAATGAGAGATTTACCTAAGGACATACAGCTAAGTAGTGGTTCATTAAATTATTGAACAAACAATGGAAAAGTATACTTCAGTTAAAGGAAGACACGTGCCATAGTTACTTAGTAGCAACATACTGGGAAACACATATTCTCAGAAAGTGTTATTTTTTGAGAGTGTGTATCTTTTGTCAGAAAGTTACATACAGCTAAAAAGAACTTCAGGGAAAACTGTGAAGTATTTAAATTGATTCCATTACATAAAAATAATCATCAAATAATGTTAAAAAAAATTTACACAAGTGGTACTTTACTTGGGTTCCTATCTTCTCTTACATTTTAAAAGACAGCAGAAACTTCCAAATAAAATAAAGACAACTGATATAAAAATACAGTTTAAACCCAACAAATTGCCAAAACTACATGCAGTTGTACAATCAAGAATAAGGTAAAGCAGAATTAATGATGTTGATGGTAAGAATTCAGGTGACTTCGATGCATGTTCAAAATGAGAACTGCTGTAGCCATCTTAACTGCTTACCTCTTGACTTTATCATAGTTCTGTTGACGGTAGTCACCTTGCTGAATTAACTGTTTTGTGTCTGCTAATTCTAAGGCCAAACGTTGACATCTAATTTGAAGCTCAGAGTAGTTTCTTCGATCTTTCTCGTATGTCTGTAAACCAAAGGATTCATAAAACATTTCAAATTAAACATAGTTGGCCAAATTATGCATTGAATTTTCTGTTAAGCTCTGAATATCCTTGTAATTAAATTTTAAAAAAAATCCTCAATTTTTATATTTATTTTTCTCTACTCAAAAACAGGTAAAAAATTTAGAGTGGTCTGTAAGCTCAGTTGTTTAAAATATGAACTCAGTTTTCCAAAGAAAAAAATAACAACTGTGTTTTGGTTACTAGATTAATATATAAAATGACTACCAATGTTAAATGATGTTTTTCAACATTTACTGAGTTACTATTAGATACTAAAGATACAGAAATGAATAAAATACAGTCCCTGTTCTTGAGTTCACAACTTAGAGATGAAGAGCCATATGACTATCAATGTCTACAATGAAAAAATAGTTACTGAAGAGATTAACGATGCAGTTCCAAATGTGGACTCAGCAAAAAAGAAACTGTGTGTCCCCTGCAACATATCTCTGCATTAACATCCCCTTATCCTCACCAAACCAGTAGCACATAAGAAAGGGATTGTTGAGATATAGGGACAGAGAGAAAGTGAAAACCTTACAGCAGATCACAAGGTCTGATTCACAATCTGGCCTTGCTCACTACAAGCCTCATTTCTCACCATTCTCATATTCACACCTCACCCTCCAACCTCACAGAGATCTGAAGTTCTCTGAATGTACCGTGTTTCCTCTAACCTGTTGTCACTGCCTGAATACTTGCATATAATTTGAATATTTGTCTCCTTCAGAGTACTCATCTCAGTGGACCATCAAATTAGTTTTCTATATGTCTCACCAGAGTGTAAACATCTTAAGGGCAAGGACTTTATCCTGCTCACCACTAGATCTCCACCACTTTACACACTACCTGGTATGTAGTTAAGATTGAATTAAAATGCTTTTGAATAAACCAATTAAGATATAAATGAATATGAAAACTGGGAGGAACAGCAGGGCACAGAGACAGAATTCCTACTTATTTTCCCTCTTTGAACACTTCTGATCTTGCAACCAACTATCAGCTCCACTCCCAGAACCTGGCATGTCAAATACATCCTATCCTAAAGTCATTCCTTCTTAAGGCGCTGACCAGCTAAGTGTGGTAACATTCACTCCACAAATCCTGACTAAACTATCCCTGTGTGACTGTTCCTGGGCTAGGCACTGTAAGTATAAACATGAGTAGGACACAGTTTTTGTCCTCTTTAAACTTTAAATATAACTTTGCGATGTTAACTCCCAAGTTTCTATCAAAGGGCTGTTTGAGAGATATAATTATAGAAAAAGCATATCCAGTGGGTTTTGCTTTGGTGTAGTATTATGTTCTTTTCCTACACTAAATTCTCCATAAGAGTGGAATGTTACTATGGTATATATTATAGGATTACAGTTGAAGATACTCTATCACCTCCTAAAAGATTATCACATACATCATTTCAGACCTAGGTTCTATAAGAAGCTTTATTTCCCCTGAAGAATGCTTTACCCTTCTGAACAATACTAATCATGTAATTGTTTTGGAAAAGAGCATAGTGTTATGGTTAGGAAGGCAAACTCTAGAATTCAGCTGCCTAGAAGTGAATTACCTGCAGTCAGACTTCAGGTAGGTTAATGCTGCAGATTGGATGCTCCTCCCCTCCCAACCTCATTGAGGCTCAAATCCCCACTGTAACTGCTGAGGGTGGTAAATCCTATTATGGTAATTAAAAGGTGGGGCTTTGAAGAGGTGATTAGATTGTAGAACCATGCTGTGGTGAATGGATTAAAAGTGGTGGTTCTGAGGGTTTTAAAAGAAGAGCACATGAGAGGTTAGTCTCTCTCTGCTCCACCATTTTCTGCCATGTGATACCTCTGGGTCACTGTCACCATCACCAAGGCCTTCACCAAATGTGTTCCCTGGACTTTGGACTTCCCAGCCTCTGAAACTGTAAGCAATAAATTTTGTTTTCTTATAAATCACCCAATTCCAGGTATTTTGTTGAAAGCAACAGAAATGGACTAATACAGTTAATTTACCTCTCCTTACTTCAGTGTCCTACCTCATAGAGTTCTTGTGAAGATTATATCAAGAGATAAACGTAAAGTGCTTATAAAAACCCCTAACACATAGTAAATACTCATAGCTATAAACTAATATCATTATAGTGCTTCCTATCTCCTTTGGCTTCCAGGGAGATCATAGCCAAATTGATAGTTCAACTTTAATAACTACACAAAGACCACAACAGAATGCAGAGGAATACAATTTAAAGGATGGGCGCAAGACAAAGAGCTCAGGGAACCCAAGGGAGTATACACAGAAGGAAAGGGTAAGCCAGGGGTGTGTGTCAGGAACAACAGCAGAAGACAGTGCTTGGAGGAAACAAATCAGTCAATAGTATTGAGTACTACTGAGAAAAATAAACAACAAAAAACTTTTTAAGTATTCAGGGATAGAGAATGAAGGTAGAGTGCCAGAGACTAAGGCAAATATATCTGAATACTCAGTATGTCCTTGATTTGTGCCATTTTATATGCGTCATCTCACTTAATATTTAACTTTATGACTGGGTATAAAGATTATCCCATTTTTGTAGATGAGGAAACTAAACTTTGGAGAGGAAAGTCTCTGAGCTCATAAGTAGTAGAGTGAGGACTCCAATCTAAGTTTGTCAAAACACCAAAACCGTAGGCAATTCTTTCTACAGTTTAACAGTAAAAATGAGAAAGTACCATAGCTTAGAGAAGAAAATAGGGCTAATGAAGGTTTTAAATGATGGAACAAGATTGAAAATGTTTAAATATTGATGGGAAAGAACTAACAGCGAAAGAGGCATTGACGATGGAGAAAAGGGGCATATTCAGGAGAATAAAACCCCTAAGAAGGCTTTAGGATATGGGATATAGAGCTTACATGCAGAGATTAGTCTTAGATCAGAAGCCATACTCATCATTGCAGGCTTTTTCCCAGCTGATACAGAATATTAAAAGCTTGGATTTTTTAGGTAGCTCTTATCAATTTGCTATAGGCCACAGACTACTCCTTACCCTAATGTTTCCTGTATTTATATTATTCACCTGGTTTCTAAAGGCATATGATTTTTCCACTCCTTGAGGGCAAGACTCTTCCCACCATAAACAGTAAGAACAAACAAATAAACCAGAATGACTGCAGGTTTAAGTACATTTGTAGGTTTGGTGCAGGAAATTGTGGGAGTTCTCATCTGATGATTTCCATTTTCTTGTGAAATGAAATACCAAGTATCTGCTAAGAGTAAAAAGGAAATTGGAAAGCTGGAGATGCGAGGAGAATGGTGAATGATTGAAATAACCGTGAGGAGAATGGTGAATGATTGAAATAACCTCTGTGAAAATTGAGAGGACAAGAAAAAACAGAATTACAGCACAATTATATGGGCCCATTTGAGGCTGGTAACAATAAACTTATAGTACTTGTTACTGCATATGTGACTTTTACCAGTAGTGCTAGGTCAGAAAAATGAAGTTAGTCAGGTGGTTTGATAAAAAAGAAAGTTGGGGGAAGAATTAGAGAACATAGGCAAGAGAAAGATTTAGGACTGATAATTTGATGGAGAGGGAAGAAAATAAATTTAGGAAGGTATTGATAAAGATATAAATTATATGGATTGAAAATTTTGTTAAGGATGAGTTGAAAGCAGATGATTGAGAAATATGGAAATATAGGAAGTAGTATGTTCAGTGGATCAAACTGAATTGATAACTTCAGAAGTAAATCAGTTCTGAGTGACAAAGAATAGAATGTGAATAGAATATATTAATATATATATTAAATATATATTATATACATGTGTGTATATACATAAATTTTCTTTAAATACATATGAGCAAGTATAAGCAAAAGTTCAGTATAAAAATGCATACATTCAACCAACACTTTCTTTAGAATTTTTCAACTAAAAAATTTCCCCTTAAATAAAATTAGTACTTTTTTATTTTGAAAAAAAATTGGTTTCACTTATTAGCAACTAAAATAGTACAGCATACGACTGGAAAGAGGAAAGACAGCATTTTCCCTTGAAATAAATCAAACCCCATGACTTTGTAGAACTTTATGGTTAAGGCTAAAGATAAGACTACTTTGTATTGCCCTCTGCATTCTTCCCTGTCTTGAGATCACCATCAACTTTTGTGGAAAGACTCCAAGCCCCAACTCTGAGTTAGATGCTAGTCTTATATTTTCTCCCATGTGGTTCTTACCTCTGTCAGAAAATGTACTGCATGTGCTGTAAGCTGCCACTACTTGTCTCCTCCATCATAAGGGAAAATTTAAGGAAATTTTCTATAACCCTACTACCTAGTACTTTGCCTATTACAGGTTGAATATCCCTAATCCAAAAATCTGAAATCTGAAATGCTCCAAATCCAAAATTTCCTTTGAGCACTAATGACTCTCAAAAGAAATGATCAGTGGAGGATTTCAGATTTTTGGATTAGGGATGCTCAATCAGTAAGTTTATATAATGTAAATATTCCAAAATCTGAAAAAATCTGTAATCTAAAACATTTCCTTTCAGTCCCAACCATTTCCAATAAGGGATACCGAACCTGTATGTAGAGGTTTGCAATTAATATCTGTGGAACAGAAGGAACAAAAGAGGACATTAAATAGACTAAAACAGAAGCAATAAATGTAACCTTTTCAAACATAAAGAAGTAGACACATAATTCCAGTAACCAGTCTTTTATAACAGAAAATTTCTACATCAGAGTAAACAGGTTAATGGGTTAACCGCCAAGTCTCAATTAGCTTTTCTAATAAAGAAAAAAAGGACTGGCCAGTTAGTTCAGTTGGTTAGAGTGTGAGGGTTCAATCCCTGTTACAGCTGCCACCCACCTCCCTCCCTTGCCAAAAAATTAAACAGTGAAAAAAGGACAATCCAAGTCACAGAGAAGATTTTGATTGCAGGTCAACTTTCTACCTATCTGGAACTGATTTTGACTGCCAGGGTTAATATCATCCTTTCTCTTAAATTATTCATACGAGGAAATAATACAAGGCTGCCTCTAGCCTGAAAAGAGTAAATCTGTTACTGTAATTGCATGTTTTTTTGTTTTGTCTATAACCCTCACCATTCATCACAGCCACATAAAACTTGGAGCTCCTTGAAGGCCTGTCTTATTTCTGAACACTCAGTACACTCTGTATACCTATATATTAATTATACTGGAAATGTTTGCAGAATGAACTAATGTTGAAAGATGTACGGACTATGCAGCACTAGCACTTAAAATAGCTCAAGATGTAGAAAAAGTAGCTTTAAAAATTAATAAAAATTTAATAAGTTACTAATTTTCAACTGAAATTGAATATTACCATATATCTGCAAATAAAACTCTGCATCTGAAGTAATAATATTCTATGCAACTTACATGTAGAATTTTCTCAAAGATTTTGAGAAAGACAGCATGAAAGGGGCTTCTATTTCTTGATCTGGGTGGTCATTAAACAGGTGGGTTCATCTTGTAAAAATTCTTCAAGCTGTACAATTACAAGTTCTTTATGTACTCATGTGTTACATTTAAAAAAAAATAAAAATGAGAGGCTTCAATGCGGGAAAACATTAACTGGGCACTGCAGGGATGCTTGTGTAAGATGGAAAGGACACGTGAGAGTCATATCAAAGAGGAAAAAGAACAGGATGGAAGGAGATGGTGATCAGACACTTACTCTCAGTATTTCTCTTCTGTTTAACTATTTGACATAAGAAACTGAAAATCTTACATTATACAGTGTTTT